AATACAAAAACGCTTATAAATAATTAAAGTAATATACATATGGAGTAAATAACAGCAGTTTCTATAAATAACAGTAATTAAATGTTATAATAATGTTAATGTTTTAATGGCGCTAACATTTCACAAGTCACGTAACAACAGTGACACATACCAACACATATATGGATTAATTTTTATTATTTTGAAACGATTCATCGCTTTATTTAAAGTTTTATATAGAAAATATTGTATTGTTTGTATGGAAATGGATTAGGCTTAATGGAAAATGAAAGCAAGGAATTTTAAAGTCATAGTAGTAATGTTTGCAAAATATTTTAAATTATAAAATTTGTTATTAACATACTTTCACGTATTCACTATGTTTTCATTCCATAATTTCTGTTACCTTGTATATCTATATATTTATTTAGGTGAAAAACATAATTTTTCTCATATTTATTAAATAAATATTATCGTAAATACATCTCAAGGTGAATGTTAAATATTTCTAACTATTATTCGTTTATTCAAACTGCGGACTGTATACAGGATGCGTCGGACAAATGATACAATTGAATCGAATAAATCCGTGAAAACTTTAACATTTGATGTTCACCGTGACTTGAATAGCCTCTTTATGGAGTAAAATACATCTGCCTTCTATATTATAAGAAATAGACCACCTCGCGACATACAATAGATTAAATACGACACACGATTTTATAACTTATACTTTCTATCATAAAGATTGTATTCCCATGCTATATATTGTTCGTGGTCACACACTGATCCCAGTCTTGAAGTGGACGCACGCTGTGATCTCTTTACAAAAATAACACAATGAATAATTTAAGATTTATAAACGTTAATTTATTTGAAGTGTGCGTAATATACCCGGGACTGGTAGCGTATGGCGTTAATGAAGACTAATTATTTGATCAGCTGTTTATATTGATATGTTTTATGGAATAAATTGTACTATGAAGAAATGCGATCTAAGTTGTTTTAGATATTTTTAATATAAAGCTAGTATGTGGTTGGTAAATACAAGTGGACTCACAAAATTATGATTACGAATTGTCAAGGTCATGTAAAAAATATTTTTATAAGACAAATAATGGTGCAAATGCCTCCAGCACGATTTAAACTGACTTCAAAATTCTATAGATTCTCTTTTTATATGTAAGTACATATGTATATATATAGCTACGTTCAATGTGTATATTTTTGTATATTTGAATATGATATTTATTTCAAAACATTTTAATTTCAAGCATAGGTATCTAGTCTTAAAAAAGATAATAAGACTTTATAATCAAAACTAACGATTTCCAATAAGTATTGTTTTATCATTGATGGTCCACTATAAGCAGATCTCTCATTATATTTAATACCAAAAATATTCACGAATATTAAAGTTCAATTTAAACCCAGAAGCCTTACAACACCGGATTAGGCTGGTCAGGGAGTAAACCAGACTTAGCGACTTTCACTCCGGAAGGGCTGCCTGCTTTGTTTCCTTATTATATAGATTTTCTCAGCAGTATAATTACAACAGGTTCGTAATATTAAACTCGAAACGAATAGTATCCTGTTTGAACCAAAAACCTACATTATCATTATCACGTGTAAAGATCTATGAGTTAAAAGGTTAAATTTAATATGTAGTTTAACGACGTGAACTTGTATTAAGTGATTTTGTTAATGTTCAAAAGACACTTAATAGCCCGTTACATTTTAATACATTGCAATTTTTATCATCTCAATCTAGATTCTAGATAGCCAACCGGTTGCTACTTGCTAGTTGCTAGATCCAGTCACATCTTAAAAATATCCCCCAAATATTATTTTCAAAGATCGTAATCTTATATCCTAAAAGCTTTTCCTTTTATCAGCCGGTAATCCTATCCTTAGCTCTGTTTGAAAGTCTCGACAATCTTTGGATCGCTTTATGCAACTGATTTAATTATATTACGCCTTTTAGATTCGATTCAAAGTTATAATGGATGGATTCACTTTGTATAAGAGATCTCTTTGCAATTAAGTAACGCACAAATTTATTATATTATTAACATTTAAGCGAAAATATTTTTAAATTTTAATATAAATGTATACATTTATTTATTTTTTCATTTACCTAATGCTATCTAAGATTTGCGCATGTTCCTACATACATATTTGAATTAGGTATTCTAATGACTAATCTTTTCGGAAATTATGCGTTTTTATCGTTTTATGTGTGTATGGGACATCTTCATCTCATCTGTCCGTGATCACGATTCCTTTAAAGTAACTGAATTATATGCATTATGTAGTTAAAAAATAATAAAAGATGCCAAACAAGCGAAACATGCGAAAAATTTTATTCGTCTTTCATTATTTCGTCGTATAAAAAGTCGATTTTTTTTACAATAATATTTGTACTTGAGTTAGACCAAACAATTTGTATTATAAAACAATACATGACCTCAGTGCTTTATAGTTTAGAGTGACCGTGACTCGCCCGAACAAAACGTTTCAATGGCAGAAGGTCGGAGCGTTAAATCTTTGATTTTGGTTCAACAATCATTTATTATCGATTAAGGTCGATATTTAATGGTTCGAAACACATTTACCGATTTCAATTTACCAATTACTACGGATCTAACTGATATTTAACATTGATTTATATAGAAATGGTTGATTTTTATTACTTTTTTACGTATTACTTGTGAATGGTATGTTCATGACTGTACTCGTAATTCATATGTTAAATTTTTCCACCAATTTTTATCCAATGATGAAGCTTTGGTTGGGATTAAGATTAATTTTAAAAATAATATATATTTGCATCATTTAAATCATCTCTATTTGCGTCTTAAGCAAGGATTTTAAGACCGTATGTTGGCGCCTAATTAGTTAAGTGCGTGCTTTACTACGGTTATAAATGAAATGGTTTGCAAATGCACTAATGAGAAATTTCTCGCTCAGTCGGCTGTAAGAATAGAATTTGTCTTAAATAAGGCAGATGATACACTGTATAATAACCTTATATTACGTAGATAGTATTTATTTTAGGTTTAAACAAGTTTATACCGCATCGATCCGGTTAAATCCAGTATTTTAATATGAATAAACAATTTCGTTACACCGAATTAACATTATACAACAATACAGAAGTCACAAACACGTGGTTACACAAATTAACATACATCATTAGCTATTATATGAAATATATTCCCGCAGTAAATTAATTTTATTACCATCTAATAAATCAGAATGTGAAGGACCCCTGGAATCGTTAAACATTCATGAACCAATACTTCATACAATCCCGCCCATTACCGCGTCCGACGAGTTTGTGTGACGTCGGATTTCAAACTACTGTTTAATTGTCCCATACAGTCAATTTTGTTTAAATATTGATACAATACGTTTCATTTGAAATTATTTACTCGTTATAATATGTTCTTAATGATTCGTATTTGTAGAGTTGGTTTACTGTTTATACGCTTAAGTTAAATGATAAGTGTCTGTAATCATGATTTCAAAGCGTAGATTTTAATATAATTTTCTTAGTTTTTCTTCACTAATTTAGTTAGTTACTTAAAAAATATTGCGATGTGTTCTTTAATATAAAATTATATAAATTCTTATAATAAACAACAATTCTAGTAATGCAGACGAGGTTGCGACTAGCAGCTAGCATTAAATATTTTTTTCGGCTAAAGAAAAAACTTATTAAAACAGGGTTGATATTGCTTAAGTTTTGAAAGGGTTTCGAGATACAATTTTTTAAGAATGTCCAATATTCAATATCTAGTTTTTTGAATAATATTTCATATTAATTTTATCAAGAAGGCAAGTTGGAAGTACTTAAATTTACTTATAAGTTCATATTTTTGGATGGATTTTCAACAATAATGTTATAAAATAACTCGAACTGTGATTTAAATATTATTTGTTTATTTCTTAATGTATATAAAATCGTATATATGTCATAATTATATATTATTTGTGTATCACATTTATTTATATCAGAACGAGATGTTAAATTTTTCATAAGTATTTGTTATTTTGTAACTACTATTTGTTATTATTGTATTTACTACATTCTCATCGTGTTTTTTCTCGTCATCGGTAACTCTCTACTATACTAACACTTCTCGACCGATTCGTACCGGCGATATTAATGTAGAATTTATGTTATGGATATGAAAATATCGAAAGTTACAAGTTTTATTATGTTTTCGCGTGTTTATTATATCCGTGCGATGAGTTGTTCATTCCTTAACCTTTATATTTATTTCTATCTAGAGTTATTTTAATGGAATGTGTTCATTTTCTATTCAATTCTGTGACCATTGAATCAAGCTTGACAAATGACACTTGCGTAATGTACGCGTTAAATTTGTTGTCTAGTAGAAAGTAGAAATCTTATATATTATCATCTTAATGTCTTTTATGATTTTCTCATTTGAATCTCGTAAACGATTCGGTTAAATGATTTTGATTATTCATCTTCATTAACAGTATTTGAATTTTAAACTCCGTGTAAACCAATTCCCCACTCTCGTTTCAAACACATTAGCGTTCGAATAGTAAGTAATCGCAAAGCAATTACTATTAATTGAATGGAATTATTTCGTGAATGGACGTGCAGATACCATTATACTAACAAGTACTATTACGACGCTCACAGATGTGATCATCATACGAAATGTATTTATAACAAGAATTTGATGTATAATCATCATATCGGGAATCCCTACTAATATTATAAATACGAAACTAACTCTGTCTGTCTGTATGTTACGCTTTCACGCCTAAACCACTGAATTGATTTTAATGAAATTTGGTACAGATATAGAGTTGACCTTGAGAAAGAACATAGGATAGTTTTTATCCCAGACTTTTGAAAGGTTCTCTTAGAAACTAGATATAACCGAACTCCACGCCTGCCAAGCTGCGTCCGGAAAGCTAGTACTCAATAAAACTAACTACATATATATTAATTAATAACTCTATTATATCTGTTTCAGATTCCTTCGTTAATAGTCAGGAATGGACGTCATCTCGTGGTGTGACGGAGTTAAGAGTGGGTGTGCTTGGATCACCTGATAGTGGAAAATCGGCGTTAGTGCATCGATACCTCACGGGGGCCTACATGCAGGAAGAAAGTCCAGAAGGTACGATACGACTTTGAATAATTTGTGTAAAGCGCCATCTATGTGGAGTATTTTATATTATTTCAGACACAGTGCCATCTAGTAACGAGCAGACAAAACCATACCTAGCTTATAAAGAAAATAATTAAAATAAATTTCAACAGATGGCGTTTTTCAACGTTTTTTATATTAATGCTATATAAAATATGGCAGTATTAAGTAATAATTAGTTTGTACTTATAACAATTATTTTATTAAGTTTAATATAAATTTAAAATTCTTTCTAGGTGGCCGTTTTAAAAAGGAGGTCATCATAGACGGCCACAGTTACCTCCTACTCATCAGGGATGAAGGCGGCCCGCCCGAGATGCAGGTGAGTGAACTTTTACCCTTTAGCGCCCTTTAAATATGAATGCATTATGTGTTTAGTACACGAGATAGTAATGAAAGAGACTTTGCCCGTCTATAAGGTGAGTTGACGACCTCTCGATAATACGATACAATTCTATTTATTCACGAATTATTATCAAAATTATTTATTTAAATATGCACTCTAAAGTTATGTAATTTAAAGTAAATTTTACAACACATTATAATTTCAAATCAAATTACACTGAAATATTCCATTGATGGTGGAGCCTCAGTTTTCAGACGTTTCTCATACATCGTGTTATGAATACTTCAGAGAACAATTAATTTACGTTAGTAATGCACTCTAGTTGGAGCGGAATTGTTCAAACATTTAGTCGAGTCGAGCAGAGAATTGTACTCCTGGCTCCTACTACGAGAATTCACGATGAAACTTAATATTTGCTATTAAATTTTTATTCTCATACCGAAAGTAAAACTATGATAGTCGAATCGAAATTGGATTCATTTTAAAAGTGCAAACTCGTGGTAGTTGTAAATAGTTGCGCCCAAAATGCTGACCTACTATTAACGACTATTGGTTTATGATTAATCGGTCAGATACTTTCATAGGAATATTTTTATTTAAATTAGTACTACTAAAGTATTACTACTAAAAATATTATTTAAAAATTTATGAAAAGTTTAGCAAAAATAATGTACCTATAAACTAAATTAAAAATATTATACTTAAATATACTTTAATTTCATAATTATTTCTATACGTTACATATAAGTGATATAAATTTTAAAACATACATAAATATATAAAATATAAAATTATTTAACAACTTCAATATACATATTCTTCTTCTTCTTCTACCTGGCAATTTCCCAGCCATAGCCAGGGTCTGCCTTACTTGTTGTGAATAGTTTTTTTTTTTGGCTATTTTTTGGCTTTTTCAATTTACATATTATACAAAGTTATTCTATATCTCATTCAAATATAAATTTAGTTTTCATATCATCATCATCATCATCAGCCTATCAGAGCCCACTGCTCAGTTTAGACCTCTTCTCACACAGAGAAGGTTTTTATATAGATGTCGTTTATTAAATTAATTATTTTAAAGTTCGTGTAATACAGTGTAATGGAAACAGTCCCCGGGATGTTATCGATTCTCTGTATAAAGGAGAGTTAATGTCTGTTTTATATAACACACGCTGCCACAGTGTCCTCACCTTTATAATCTTTTCCATCTATAATCTACGAGCCCTTAGCCTTTTACGGTCGCTTCTGTAATGTACGGAATGCTGTTACCGTAAAAGTTTATATACTTAAATATTGTGGATGAAATTATATTATATTATGTTTGAATTATTATAAAAATCATAATTGTTTTTTTATCCTATCCGTAATGCTATTTTTTATATACATATTTGTTTAAAGATATTTATATAAAAGTTTTTAATGAACAAAAAAAAAATTCGTCTTTATAATGAAAATAAATCGTATACATTTGATTCATGAAATATTCTAAATATAATAATATTCGTACATATATTTTCTTATATCAAGAATTAGAGGTCACTTTATTTGTAAGCACGAAAAAAATATGTTACTCCGACGATCGACATTTTAACAAGTATAACATATTGCAAGTACATATTGATAAAACGTCGAGATGTAAGCGACATCTGGTTGGCAGATTAATTATGAACTATGCTTGAGATTGTTTTGAGACGAAACTTATTCAATTAAATCCTCAATATATGTATGAAATAAACGGTATTTTAGATTCCAATATAAATTTAGTTTTAGTATGATAAACTAATGTTTCGTGTCAAGATTACAATGTTAAAATAAATGAAACTAATACTTTTCGGATATACTACGCATGCTTTTTTACTTTTGCATAAAACTACATACCTACTCCCGACGTGTCGGATACTTTTAAACAATCGTGATAATGGGCAAAATGTTTCATTTAAATGAATACTCGCGAAAGTCTTAGATCTCATAATGTTAAAATAAGTTGTCATTTGAACATTTATTGTATACTAGAAGACCTGGCGAACTTCGTATCGCCTTATAATCAAGAAATATCTATTACGTTTTTTTATTTATATTTTTGGAGTTTACCTGTAAGCCATAAATCTCGGTGTTTTGAAGTGCGACAGAATGATTGACATATTAGTTAGTTGTCAAATCTAATGTCAAAAAAACGTTTGTATGGGAAATAGAAAAGAGCTGTTTTTATGGTTTTCCCAGTAATGAATCAATTTTTTTCAGCTTTTATACCTTCCCTGAACCTAAACGAACATTTCAAGACTAAGATAAGATAAATCCGTTCAGCTGTTCTCGAGTTTTAATAAGACTAAAGAACACAATTCATTTTTATGAATATAGATTAATAAGTCTTAACTCTGCCAATTACGTCGCTCTAAAAGTTATTTGACTCGTGCATACTTAGTTCTTTCCCAACCGATCCTGATAGCACCATAATAAACATATGTATATACAGGGTGACTGGTGAATTACTATCAATATTTAAGGAGAATACTCGGTACATGATTCTCATTCGAATTATGTAAAAAAATAGGTACTTAATTTTTGACAAAATTTCCGTATAAATAAATAAAGTGTGGACACGTTCCAAGTGTTCCAAGTGTGGACGCGTGTGACGGCGTGCTGATACAACACCATGCCACCGGACGCGCGTGTGTGTGAGTGTGTGTGTGTGTGTGTGTATAACTAATCTGTAGGGTGTTCATACGATGCGTAATTAATTACATAACTTTTGGTTAACCTTACTTATAAGTTTATTAATATTTATGTTATATTTATTTTTATTTTGTCATATATGATCGTCAAATATCACGTCCTCAAGTATCGATAGTAATTCACCAGTCACCCTGTATATATTTCCTTTGTATTTGTATGTGATAAACAATTTTAAATATTCTCTGCTCCTCGTGTATGCGTGGGACTTGATACATTAGTTCAGGACGTCCGTGTTAGTTTGACCCATATACTAATGTTTTGTTAAGTGCTATTAATTGTAACATTTTAAAGACCTAACTCGCTTTATGTCACTTTTGTCGCATTATCTACTTACCTTACTGGCATTTTGAATTAACATGATCATCTAAATTTACATTATGAAGCCTCTAACGAGTACATAGACTAATATTTTTATTCTTGAAGATAGATACATAATTTCTGTTACAAATTAAATTTGATGACTCATTCGATTTGGTACATATGATTTAGAAAACATTATTTTAAGGTTTACACTAGATTTATCTTAAGTTTTCTATAAGAAACATGTACGCGAATTGTTTAAATAATTTAAATTAATCTATTACGTTCTTACTGAGGTCACTTAACATATGAAAATAATAACTATTTTGTATGAAAGAATTTTTATAACAAGTAAGAAAAATTTTCTTATCATACAAGAAACAGTAGAATATAGTCTCTTGTACATCAGATGACTTAGATGTACTATACTAACTAAATATCAGATCTTTAAATAATTTCAATGTGAATTCAATCTTAATAACTTCTCAACATTTCAATGAACACATTTTATTTAATAATTCCAATAATATTTCGACACTGTATGTATAATTGTATACCGTTGTATGTTATTTGCCAAAATCCAGCTTGCCAAAACAGAACAATCGTCATTGACAATTGTGATGTAGGTCAAAGATTTGTTAAATATAAAATTTTACAGAGCCATAGGTTAATATAACATTTGTATAGATTTAGTTTTTAAATAAATAAATTATCTTTAAGCATTTCTTGACTTTATTTAGTACTTTAATGTCTTTTAAACATGCAACGGATTTTACACTTAGACGATGTACATACGACAAGTAAGAAAGAGAAGTTATTACATTTAATTTATGAATCAAAAGGAAAACTCTAAGTAGAATATCTTCGTAGGTGAAATATCTTTTTAAAGAAATTATTTTAAATATAAAAATGTAGATAGACAAGAATATAAATATTATTCATAAATTATATCGAAAAAAGCTTTATAACTTGTTATTACTGAGTTATAAAAGAACAATATTGAAAAGAAAATTACGTTTCAAGGTTGTCAAAACAGATATAATATAAGACGAGTTCGTAACTTATCTTCGGTTTATGTAAGTTCATTTTCATCGTAATAGCCAGCCCTGGATGGGTTTTTAAATGGGCCAGGACCAGCCAGAGGTGATATCCTCTGTAGCCTGCTTCGTATTATATGCCAACGGTAATTGCGGCCTACTTCCCATCATACATCTTTAGAATGAATCATTATAGTTATTTTTACTCTAACGAAGTATTATATTATTTTTCTCTCATATATTTGTAAGCAGATCATCATTTACAATAATGTTCCCATTTCCATTGGAATTTGTTGGCAAATTTCATTCATGTTTTGTTTTAATTAAGTGGCAGATTATAGGTTTTGTATATTGAAATTATTAGTTTTTTCATATAAAGTGTATATTTTATAATTTAACTTATTCATATAAAGATTTTTATTTTTAATATATCCTTTGTATTACTTCGCTGCAAGCTTGATGAAATGAAATTCATATGTAATATCGTATAGAGCTTCGTAAATCGTATTATAATAGAATTTAAACGCCAGTCAGTCTTGTTTATGAAATCTAATATATAAAAAAACAAGATTAAAGATATTTATCAGATAAGGAGTAATCTTTGTATTATTAGAGTAATACAAAGATAAATCTTCATTCAAAGTGATAAACAGACACACACATGCACAAACACAAACACACACACATACACATACACATGTCATAATATTATTGTATATATACGACCTTTTTGTAACAAGACTTTCGTATGATAAAGGTAAACTGTTGTCATTATATCGATCTTAAAGTGAATTATTAATAAGCAGGCTGCTACCAGGCAATTATTATTATATTCTATGGATTATTGGTTAAAAAAATTACGCTTTTACAATCATATATGAGATGGAAATACGAGGCATGGAC